TCCCCCCCCCCCCCCCCGGAAGAGTTTAAAATGAGACATTTAAACTCAAATGGTGATGTAAAAAAAATATTTATGTGCAATTTAGCTTTCATTCATTCTTCCAGCTGTCTTAGAAAGCAGGACTTCTTTCTCTTCCCCCCCCCCTCCCCAAATATTAAATCAGGAAGTATATATTATTTTTACTTTACATCTACAGCAATATCTAATACTTTTTCTATCTATTTTAAATTCTAAATACTGTAATTATAAGTTACATCATTGTATTTCTACTGTGAATAACATTTCATTTTGCTCGGATGAAAACAGTACCAACCATACAGGCATCTGCGTGGTAAGTACCCTGATTATTATGAAAAAGCCAAAGAAATCCACTGGACTTGTATACTTTAGAAAGCAGTATGCATTTATTTCAATACAGAAACAGTATCTTTCAGGCTGAGGCTGGCTTAAAGATGGCCATTGTTTTCATTATTTAAATAAAATAAAGTTCTCCAGCTAGAATAGATTGTCAGCACTGTAAAGACTTTTAACTAGAAATTATTTACAGTTATTAAACCAAACAGCTACAGAGCTTTGTCACTCTCACCTGTGTCCTGGGTTCAGCTGGGATAGAGTTAATTTTCACAAGCAGCTAGGAGGGGACAGCCAGGACAGCTGACCCGAACTAGCCAAAGGGATATCTGATACCATATGACATCATGCTCAGTATATAACTGGGGGAGCTGGCTAAGGGGAGAAGAGATTGTGGCCTGGGAACAAACTAGGCATCAGGTTCCAGGTGGTGAGCAATCACATTATGCATCACACTTCTTACATTATTTTATTAGTATTACTGTTATTATTTCTTCTTTTCTTGTGTCACCCTATTAACCTGTCCTTATCTCAACCCACAAGTTTTTACCTTTTTCTTCCAATTCTCCTCCTTTTCCCACCAGGGGAAGAAGTGGGCAAGCAGCCTCATGGTGCTTAGTTGCCAGCCGGGCCTAAACCGCAACATCCTGGCATTGGCAAAAGGTCAGGTCTCCCTCCAAACAGTGGCCATTTTGCAGGTTGATATCAAGAATATCCCAGAAGTCCAAATCCTTTAGCAGCTGTTAAAAGAGGAGGAAGATTATCCTTTGCATCTGACAGTCCTGTTTGGAAATGGTTTTTGGTTTTTATTGTCAATATTTTATTGCCAATAAATTATTTTATTTTATTGTCAAATGCTTTAAAACAGTGAAATCTGCTTTTGCTTGCACAGGACACAGTCTGAACTGTGAGGGTCTAAAAACATCAGGCTTAAGAAATGCTATCTGAAAGCACTGCAGACAAAGCAGAGACACCACACACCAACAGCTACAAATACCTTAGCTTTTATCATTCATAATGCCCTACTTTAAAAGACGTACAACCACTGAGCTACAAGTATAACCTTCCTGTACATATTTAACAACAGAGCACACTGACCTGCAGTGTTACTAATCTTAGCATGACCACACTACAAAGTAAAATTCCCTGATATAAAATGTTAACCTACACACACAAGTCAAAACACAGGCTGACAAATGAAGTACAATTGGTATGGAAAGTTAAAGCCAGATTTTATTTCTGAGTGATTTTGTCATGGCAAACATATTAGATGTCATATGAGGCTGGTTCTAAGCATGGATTTAATCCATGACCATAATGTAGGTCAGTAGTTTTGATACAGTTTGTGCCTAGTATTCATTCCAAGGAATCAGACTCAGCACTCACATCAATAGCTGTGAAGAGTGTACATGTGGTTTCTTTTTACACTGCCATTTAATAAAATAATCCAATTAAGCAGATGTCACAATATTTTTTGCTGACTTGCCATTTCAATCATTAAAACAGTATTTAATTTACAACAAAGTAGCTTACTCCATTTCTATGCATCCAAGAATATTCATGTTTAAAACCTGAACCGCCCTCGCTGTTTCTGCTGCCCTTCTGGTTTTCAATGAGCTTCAGTAACTCAAAAGAATTGCAACCAACTTGATAACTAAAAAAGAAAGCTTTGTAGAATGGGAAAAGTTCACAACAGAGGAGAAAAAAAAGACTTTCTAAAATAGCCAGGTGTTCACCTCAACCCATACCAACTTCAAACAGATGTAAGGACAGTAGTTGAATCTGATTTCAGACTAAGGACATGAAAGATAAGCTTTATATTCTTATGCTTTTATAATGTTAGAATAAAATCATTTTTAGATAAAGAATAGTATACTCCCCTACTCTCCTATTCTTTCACATAAAGTTTGCTCTGAAAATAACATGGCTGAGTTCCAAGGCTTTCAACTATTATTTGATCACTACCAAATATTTGCAAGTTCAGATTTCCCCACATCCCACCCATCTACTCGATTGTAGTTCATGTATCTACTATGTTTTCTTCTACTTTTATGAGTAAACGTACTGTGGCAAGTGATCAAGTCGGTCATGAAAACAGAGTGAATTACTTTGAAGTACAAAACTGAAGCAGTATTGGAAGAAGAGCTCCTGACAGCCTATCACCCAGATGAAAGTTTAACTTGAGGAAGAGGTGACAGGCCTAAGAAAGCAATCCTGCTTGGCAGCAGAAGTAGAGGTTTACTTAAGGTATGGGTGGCAATGCTTATACACAGCCTTGCATCCTCATGACACATTGTGTCTTCAACTTCAGTTGAAGGATCAGTTTGTTCAACACGACTTAGTCTAAATGAACAAAAGTGGGAAGCAATTCTGTAAAAGACATTAAGAGCACAAGTAGAAGCCTGCCAGAATCTCACTATCCCCTTATCAAAAGGGGATCCAAGAATTTTCTGTAGAGCAGCTCTTAAGATCAAAATGACACAGATATTCCAAGTCTATAATTTAGATATGCGGCTGAGGGCTTTTTTCTTTTAAAGATGCTCTGCTGGATTTTAAACTTCAATTAAAACAAGTTTATACACCCTTATATTACTGAATTCTGTCAAACCAAGAGTTGCATTCTGCTTCATGGACTGATAGATATCACTAACCTAAATGCATTTATGTGTACAGTTAAATACTCAACAGTATTAGCAGATGATCAAATACTCACTTTGCAACCATACCCTGTGAGAGAGCAATTGGCCATTAGGGGATTTGTGTGTACGTCCTTATAACATGTCTATTTCTGTGAAGAATATATGCACTGCACTTCAGGATGCACATGCCCATTAATACACACACTGGCATTTTATACGTGAACTTTTGATCTCTAGTGTCTATCATTTATTTACAGATTATTTATGTGGAATGTACCCAACCTTATTTATATCAGATTTAAAAGATGCTTGAAGGTGTATTTCAGTGGGGAAAAACATTAATACCTTCAAGCATATCTTTTTTAGTCTTTGCATAGTCACTTACTGAGTTCAACTCCACCCAATTCAACTATTTCCCTGCACTTATAAGAAAGAACACCCAGAGGCACACTGTACACCTCAGATCTTCCATGCTAGGCACTCATCTAATAGATCAGCTGCCCTGTGTAAAATAAAACCCCGGTATACTCCAGTTGCTCACACTCGGCAAGTAAATTCCCAAAAGCTTTAACTACAAGAGCCAGTGCATCCTCCACAGGTATGTTATGATGCACTACAGAAAAGAGATAGCTGTCTTATCAAGTTTGTGTTTTCATCTACTTCACACATTTACAAAAAATAGAATAATATAGCTGTTAAGTCCGTGCAATGTAACTGAGTGAGATTTTTAAAGCCTCCAGTTCAGTATTGATATAGCCTTCCTGTGGCTGCAGAGGTTAGATTTAGCACCAGTATATGAACTTCATTTGAAATATAAATGAAAAGTTGTAATTTCTCCTTTCCACTGTCAAAACATTATTGGTCATTCATGATATAAAGCTAGAACTGAGCTAAAGAATTCCCAATTCTGTAGAAAGACTTTCACAGACACCTACATCTGAAATCAGGTTAGTACAGATTTTTTTTTTCTTAATTCCAGAACATTTTTTACTTAACTATAGAACATTGCAGTTACTTGCCCTCCAGAAGTAACTGTCTTTTTACTATTGTGTCCTTGATACAAAAAAAGATGCAAAATTTGTAAATTTGCAATAAAAAGTTCTGAAACAAATACAGATAAAAAGTTTAGGAAGGATTCTGATTCATTTACAAAGAATCAATGCAAGAAAGTGAAATTTTAATTAAGCAATTTCTATATGAGTTTGTATCATTATTACATGTGACAGTTTTGCATGGATTTTATGCCATTTAAGCAGCAATCCAGGACAGATATTTAATCACTCCATGTATCATGAATTATTAGAAATTAATTTGGTGAACTATTTCAAAGCTGTCTCATTTTAACTAGGTCAAATTCTGTTACCCAGAAGTGCGATGAATCAGCATTTAAAAAATTTTAATGGGTTGAAAGAAATTTAAACTGCAGTTCTGAATGGGGACTACTTTAAGTGACATCTCTCAAACAAGCTAAACTTTCTTTTGATAGAATAATGAACCATGATTATAGTGCAAGAGGAAAGAGCTACATTGTACGTTCAAAAATACAAACCTGTCATTTTTAACTTCTTTGAGTGCATGTGTGAGATGTGACTTATGTAAAGTATATTATTTCCACCACAAGACCAGGCTCTTGTAACTGCTTGCCTATAACTCCAGCATATTCCTCTGAAAAGAGAAGTTGGTTATATACAAATAAGTCTGTGTCATTGTTTCCCATTGCTGTGCTGTTGTTGCCATCTTGTACATGCCAGAAGCCACAAATATCAAGTGCAGTATTCAGGTGTAAAAAAAACCCCACTGTGTGTTGATTGACGAGGTATATCAGAGTAACTGTGATGTTTAAGCCACACAGAAAAATTTGAAATTATTTGTCCAAGTATAGTAGGAAGCTGTAATATACATAAAAGGAAGTTTAGTTGGTGATTCCTGCTTGATCATGTTTTAGTGCTGGATTTGAGTGAAATACACTAATTATTGAAATTCTTTATATTTAGCATTTGATTCTTTCTCACCATTCTAGTATCCTGGGAAATAATCAACTGAAAAGAATAGTCTGTTAAGAACTATTATACTAGAATTAGTGTAATTTTGTTAGTAGCCTTTTTTTAAAAAAATACTGAAGGTAGAGGGCACAAAAATTAAGATTAGTAATCCACATGTTCTGAGGATAGATGCTAAACATTACCCCTTAAGAATTTTATGAATATCTTGATTTTAGCCTTTTGGACTTGGAAGATCATGTTTCCCGATAATAACAATATAGAGAAATATGGAAGTCACAAGCTCCATTAGCTTCACCAACAAAAATTCTTGCTAACATTGACCTTGAAATTACCAATGGGACAGTAAACAGTCAAGGAAAAACTATGACTTTCTTCCATATACTGTAGTACACCCACTGTTTTAAACAGTTCTAAAAGTGTTTCATTTACGTAAAACAATATATTTGGGGCTTGAAACAACTGAAAACAAATTGATTTGTCACTTCAGTTATTCTTGTTTCAAAAGATTAGATGTCAGTTTACAGCCTGCTCTGATTATCCCACATGACCTTTGCATTTCAGGCACATTAACCCAGCTGCAGCAGCTGTAGTTCTTCCTATCTAGATTTCTAGTCTCTCTTCTACTGACTAAACATTTCAGACCACTAAACCATGATAGTGGCAGAGAGTTTCCAACTCACATTTGAAGAGATTATGCACCACTCCACTTCTGCAACACCCCAGAAACTAAAATAGAAAATCTCTGGTGTGTTCCAAATCATCTTTGAGTATCAGAAGGGGAGGTCAGTGAGGAGGAAGGGAATTAAATACTACATTTACAGCGCCAGAATTCAATACAAAGAAAAGCAACTGTCTCAGCTTAAAATAATTGTTGATTCTATTATTAGAAGCTGTGTGAAGGCAGAATATATGGTCTGTGTTTCCTATAAATTTCAAATGGATTAAATACATAGGAAAGTGATGCCAATAACAAATTTGGTCTAAAACACTTCGCTACAGGGATGAAGAGAAAAATTAAAGTTAGAACATAAAAGCAGCAACAAGGAATTCAAAGGAGTTACGGTTTAGATTTCCAATTTTCTAGCTTGTCCTCTTACAAGAAGAATGAATTCTGTGTATTTGAATGGTTAAGATCTCCATATTCAAGCTGACCCAGGTCACCTCCAGATGATGAACAGCAATGAAAACTTTTCCAGGATTAGACACACTTGTGATAGAAGTTTGCCTTCTGTTTAACAGAATGTTACTCTATGAACTCATTTTTCTAAAGTTGTTCTAGTTTTGCTTCCAGTACTAAGAACTAGAGACTAGACAAAATAAAGTTCTGTGCACTTGAAAGTCCTTTTTATATAACCAACTTCAGTTTTTTTCTCCTGTTGGCAACTGTGAAGGGAATCTTTCAAATTAGAAAGGTATCTGACATGCATCAAAACCTGCAAAGATTACTCAGGCAAAAATAGTATCTGAAACTACTTTTAGTACGTCTAAATTAAGAGACCACAAAATCCAACCGAATGCTGCAAGGCAGCCTTTAAAACAGAAAAGAGAAATTATGATTAAATTAAGATCAGACTTAGTTTTGAAGTAAATTTTTTTAAAGAACCTAGACAGGTCTCTCATGGTTGTCATAGTCCAAATCCTGGGAGATGCATAAGAAATTTTAGGACTAACTAGCAGTATTAAGGAGATCCAGAAACATTAAATAGACATGATCTTCAAACATTATCTACACATTTGCAGGGTAACATTTCTGAACTGGGTTACACTTACCTATGTAATTACCATCTCTAATAGAATGAAAAAATCTTCATAGAAACCTACTTTTGCTCCTTGCTGATGGCAATGACAGTTAGAAGGTGCCTCATTCTTTCTGCATCTGTTGGTAAAACTGCAGGTATAGCTTCTCTCCACAATCATCCCTGGTGCAGTCATCTGCAACCAAGTGAAAAATCAATTAAGTAACATCACATACTGCAAAACTATATTAGAACATCACCAAGTCTTCACTACTTTTACAGTTTTTGACAGTATTGTTAAATGGTAAAATATTTCTTTGAATCAAGGGGGTTTTTTCCTCCCTTTTCTTTTTCCCTGAGGAAATTTGTTACAAACATGCAAGAAGGCATATGAAACATGGTTAAACTTGGCTGCAGACTTCTCCAAATTAATCTGCAGAGAGCAGCCTATTCATCTATTTCAACCCACAGAGGATTCTTTCTGTCCCATTCTCTCCTGAACTTTCTTCCATTTTGATGCTGGGACTCAAATCTCACTCCAAGAGAAGGCAGTGAGAGACTAGGAACTAAACCACACCATTTTTCAGCTGTGTTAAAAAACACCTTGCCTAAATACTTTAAAAGCCATGTTGAAAAAATACCCACACTGGGCACACCAATGTAGGACTCACCAGAAGTGAGCTTGCATGCCTCTCTCCAATACAAAGCCACCTTCTGATTCTTTTGGATCTGCAAAATATACACAGTTCTTCCTTACAGAATGTGCTGTACTCCATAAGTAACTGAAGATATTTTTTGGGGGGTAACCATTCATTCTCCTCCTGTGAATTGAGAGTAGTATGTTCACACCACTAATTCTCAAACACAAACCACTTCTAGCTCCTAGTTCCCAGTTCACATCTCACAGTCCCACCCCAAACAAATGGACGCTCATGAGCTGGAGCCTGAGAAGCAAGCTCTGCTGTCACAGTGCCAGATAAACCTACCAACTGCCAGAAAAGATGATACTCTAAGCAAATCTTTCAGAATTTTGCTTTGGTGCAGTTTGGTAGTAATACAGACCATCTACTGCCTATTGCAATTCACACCTTCTATTTCTACTCATTTCAACAACAAACAACTCAATTTTTCAAATGCTGAACATGGATATATAGCATTTTATTGGCATGAGCTTGTCAAAACAAATTAGGAGATACACCAGGAAAAACAATAATTGTCACATTCTGCTAAACATTTCTCTGGAATTACTAGTCTTTACAATCTTCCTAGCAGTCTTAAAGGAGGTATAAAGCAATGAATATAATTTCAGGTCTACTGCTCACTGACTTGCCTGTCCAAAAAACCAGGTAGTTAATCAAGCAACATTGCTCTTGTACCTTCTTAGAAGAAGGCAGACTGAACACAGGTAAATCCGTAAGTGATCCTGCAATTCAATGAGCAATTATTACTCTCACAGATCTTCTCACATGCTACATTTACACCATTCATTAACTTGTCCTAGATATAATTGGATTAACAATTTCTTTAGATAGTGACAGAAAACTTTCATCAATATTCTTCTCTACCCTGAAGGGAAGCACCTATGTAGTTTGACATTGAGTTCTACCAGGGATTAAATTTATTTCTCACATTCCCACATTTAGCTTCTTTCCATTACCCCAATCCCCTTTTACTGGGCAGATCTCCCCAGAGATCTAACGCAAGCAAATATGGGTCTCTGTCAAAACATTTTTCCCCTCCACCACAGTAATCTATGGTAAGCAACATGAATTCTTAAAGTATCTGGCTTCCCTGAAGTTCCAGAATAGACACCTACCTGGTCTGCTGCAACTCGTGTTCCCAAGTGCTGCTATGCCTGGATATACCTACCATCTTTCCCTGGGACATGGTACTCTGTCCTACCATCCACAACAGCATTTTTGCTGCACTAAGAATGAATCTTTTGCTATAGCTTTCAGAGGCCACAAAGCAGAAACATGCTTATTCAATAATCTACACCACAACTTTTGTGAGCATCATTCAGCAATTCAAGCCTCAACATTATCTCTGATCCAGAGACTGGATCCTGAAGATAACTAAAGAGTTATGATTTTTCTATAATGACTTAAGGCTACCACCACTAGACTTTGAAGGGACACTGATGGATATTATGAACTTGTCTGTCAGCTACAGACAAAAGTGCATGCGTTAAGAAGGAAAAAGAGCCAATTAAAATTCTTACCTTTTTAGGAGTACTGGTATCTCATACTAATCTTCTTTTCCTGTCAAATTGCTGCTCAAATAGCTCTTCAAAGCTAAGGAGAAAACATGTTTTGAATGGACCTTTCTCCAAGTTAAAATAAAAGGCCGGTTTGTGCAAAATATTTTTTCTTCCATGCTTTGGGGGGGGATTTAAATAAATCAGACATATCAGTTTCCAAAATACTAAGTGTAAGGGAATGCTGCTAATTGAATGTATATGTTTCACTAAGACTGAACTGATGCAGAAGACTGTTCCAAACAACTCATACAAGCACATTTTGCATCAGCAGCTAGTTGTTTTTCTTTCTATTCTACACATTCTGTTCCTCCCAGGATCTCCAGGTATCTCATCACATAAGTTCTCTATATTTCATGAGGATATAAAGCATCCTTCCCACTCAATATAGACCAGAGTAATAAAACTAAGTTTTTGAAATCTATTTTATGTTTTCCTAGAAGGGTAAAAGGCACATAAGCCTGGCATAAGGTTTTAACAACAGATATCAAATAATGTTGCCTTCTTTAGACGACTATCTTCTTCAGCACTGAGACTTTTCTTTTAGCTTACAAAGACTTAAAATGAGAATATTTAAAATAACTAGCAAAATCATTAGCTGCATTTCTAGAAAACATATTTTAGCAAGAGCAATTACTTCCAACACACCACCTACATCAGAAATCTGTGGATTAGCCAGTTAAGTTGCTAAAAAGTATATATATCTTCGTAAGGTCCTTTTGCTCTTGAGATTACGTATCTTATTTTGAAAAACACTCTTATACTTTGGATTGTAAGCACTTGCAAGATCTTTGGTAAACAGACAAGACAGAATGGGTGAAATAAAGCATTATATTATATCCATGCATTTTTATTCCTATTCTACAGATTGGAATATAATCAGCAGTAATTGACGGTTATTTGTTGTAGTTACAAAAATGTACAGGTATTCCATTTCATATGGTTAATTCCTACATTTAAGGCCAAGAAAACCCATTTAGAGATGTAAAAATCAGAAGAAAAATACTTTATATCCTATGTGGGAGAAAGTTGCAAATAAAACTCCAACCAGTTAAAGTTAGGACAAATGCAAGTTAGTTTTGTGCTCAGTACAATGACATTCCTCTTAACCTGTACATCTCATTCTTTTAAATAACTCCCTAGCAGTTCATTAAAAAAGCCTCACTTACCTTCCTACAAGAGCCACTACAACAAAGGTCCTGAAGGACCAGATAAACTAGTCCCATTCCAACATTTTTCTAAACTGTATGAATAACAAATTAATAACATGACAGTTACTTAGCCATTGCTTGATCTGAGTTAGATGATGTTTAAACTTTTGAGAACTTTCTTCAATAAGTATAAACCAGGAAAATAAAATTTAAAAATAGTCATTTCCGAGCAATTTAATTGTAACTCAACGTCATCTGAATAGCTAAATGAAGTATCTGGTGAAGAGTAAGTTTCTCCTACCACTAATAGAGAGAAAAAAATATTCAAGGAAAGAGGTAACTACAAGTCCTCAAAAACTGCAGGATGACACCAGAACAGATAATGTGCGCACATATGAATTCTGAAAAAGAACAGGAGAAAAGTGCTGTTTGCTCTTGAAACAAAGCATAATATGGGACAACAAATTTCCAAAAAATAAGTATCTAGGATCAAGCCTGTAAACCATAATTACAAGAACATCCACTCTTTTTTCCACAGACTTAAACTCAGTAATCAGGTACTTGTAAGAGACAGTGCTTTGGAATTCAATCTCAAAGAGTGGAGTTTAGAACTTGGTAGGCTTTGAGGCATGAGATATACTTCTTACATATTTTATCTATTCATTTGACCAGATTACTATTGAAATTAATGTATATTCCCACTACAGCATTATAAATATTTTTCTGTTAAACACATAGGATGTTCAAAGCCTTAGAATAATATCTATTTATGCTACTGAAAGTTTCTTACCTATTCAGATCTTCAGAATCCTTTGAATAATCATCTCAGGAAGGATGACTCTTCTAACATGATTTGGAAGGATTTTAAAGATTTATACTAAAAGAGGTAAGAATATGAGGTTAGGGATATGTTACCAGAAAAGTCTTTTAAAGTATCAAATAATCCAAAGTGTAAGCAATGATTAAATAAACATATTTAAAAGGTTTTCATACTATATTTGTTTTTTAAACTGTCATAGCAAACAAAAGTGATGTACTATTTCTCCTTCACCACTCTTTCATTAACAAGCTCTAGGGAGATGTGAAAAGGTCACGTTTCCTTGTTTGGGTTTGCCGAACCTACTGAATGCCTATGATACACTATACAGCAGCTCAGTCAGTTCCTCCTGACATTGTTTAAAGAAAGCCTAAAAGAGTACACTAACATCACAACAGTCATTGCAAAAATTTGTAACCACAGGGGTACATTTTAAGCCAAGATTCCTGCTTACACAAGATCCTTCTAAAGCTTTTGCTTCATCCATTTTCCCTTGAGTAAAGAAGCACTGAACAGTTTACAGTAGGAAGTGACTTCGTTAAGCACCAGCAACCTACGGGATCTGACTTATATTAATATTTATTTGCTTCCCATAATAAGATGTGGCACTTGTACACATCTCACACATTCTAAATTAAACATGTTTTTCGATCACAGTATTGAAGATAGATCTTCAATGTCTATTGCTGTCCAAAAAAAGGCTTTCTCTTTTCTGCTGAAGACGCTGCATTTTGATAAAGCTCATCTTCCAGGATAAACTCTGAAATATAGGCCTGCTATAAAAAAAACATAATGGAGAGAAAAAAATTTCTGATCAGAATTTTTTTGTTGTCTAAAGCAAGAAGTCCCAAATATGGATCTTCTTAGAGAGAAACCCCAGTAGTTCTGTGGATAAATAACACTCCTCATGGCAAAATGAAATGGAATGGTATGAAGAAAAAAAAAAGGAAATATAATGAAGAAAAAAAGGAGTTTCTTGGTAAGATTTTAAGCTTCAAAAAAATCTACCTAGAAAAGGAATATAAAGAATGTAAACGCTAACCTCATATCACTAAATGTAAGTAAGGAAAATACTCTTCAAACTTAGAAAGTAGTTACTACAATAAACAAATTTATAAAAACACAGGATTAGTAAATTCAAAAAGACCAAATTTTTAACAGCCTTAAACATTAACACAGTATCTCTGAAGTAACATTTTGCCTCAAGAGGGAGGGATTGATTAGAGGAAAATGAGCAGAAGGGATTATGTAGACAAAAATGTGCAGGAGAAGGCTGGAAATACAAACTAAGAAGCAAGTGACCCATCGTAATTATCTCTGATAGCAGATGCTGCTAACAGATGCTCTCACATTATGCTCAAAGTACAGCTGTGAGAACCAGAAATAGATACCAAAGATGCTCAACTCAAAGATGCATCCCTTGCACCTCAAAGGGAGATACGTGAGATATCTTTCTAAGCTAACAAAGCACATTTGTTTCAATCCCTTCTGCAATGTGAACCAGTCCAAAAGTACACTAAACCCTTTTGCTTAAGCTGTAAACTCTAAGGATTCACAGGTATTAGCAGAAAAAAATAGCAAGGATTATGGGCAGATGCACTAACCCTAAGAAGCAGTTTATTCAAGTCATAGTTGTAGTATGATGACAGTGACATTGTCTTGTCTCATTTACCTTAGCTAGTCTCCAGTCAACATAACTGTACAGAAGACAGTAAAAGCTACTCTGGGGGAAAAAAAATAAAAAAATTTTAAAAATCAGGGAAATAAAAGCATTTGAACTGCCCAATAAGTTTTACATTACAAACAATGAAGAATTATAATTTACTTAAGTATCTCAATAGTTACTGATTTTGGATTTTTTTCCTGGTGTAGGTTCAGCTTTTAACTGCCACAAATCATGAAAGCTTGAATAAAAACCAGCTTTAAGATATCTCTACCTGTTCAGAAGTTAACCTAATGGCTAGAGCAAGATGAAAGCAATCAGCAGGAGAGCTTCACATCAACAAACTCACAGAAGTATAAATAGCCTAGTGCAAATTACAACTTTCTGATACTTTCAGGATGCTAGAAGTCTCCAAGGGCTATGCACAGCACACCATTCTTCAGTGTAGCCTCTAACTTCACGGGGTCTGATTAAACGTCTACCAACTGCAAACTACAGTACAGCTGGAGTAAGGAAGAAAATATCTACTTCCCAGACTCCAGTCTTTGATTCACTGAAATATTCTAGTGCTTAAATCTGCTATAAATGTGCCTGACAGAATTCCACTCACCAGTGGGAGTGTTTCTGTTGGCTTTTACACTGGAAAGGGTAGTGTAAACTAGCTAGGCAAAACCATAATAAGCTGGACTCATAAACATCCCGAAGAAAATATGATGCCCTCATCTACATTCAGCATGCCATCACCGAAGCAAAAGTAACTTGACTTTGTAGAAGACACTTTTTTTGGGATTACACTTAAAACCAACGACAGCAAAATTACTACAAATCATGTTTTCACGACTTTCCAAGTTCCCTTTAAGAAAGCCTTTGCACACAAGTAATGCCCTGACCACGCTCCATAAAAGAAATGATATCCCATCCCATCCCGGAGAGCACTGCAGTTCTCAGTGACTGCTTTTGGAGGAGAGCAACACAAAACACTTGACCACAGAATACCAGTCCAGCCTCCAACACCGGTTAGCTGAAAACAGGTGGCAGTGCAGATTCCCGGTCCCGGAGAGCTCACTAATCAAGTTACTCTACAACTCCAAGAGCTTTCATTTTGGAAAAATAACAGTTCGGTTACCTCTGTATCACAGCTGGGACAGCTGGAGATAGCTGTAGGGGCCACGGGATCATGATGGGTGGTCTCTGTACATCTAGTGGGACACCTATAACCTATAAAAAGCCTTTGAGCAGTGCTTCTGGGCACCAGTTCAGATGTTACCATCCCCGAGGCTACGATCACCACCGAAGCCCAGCGGGGACGAGCGGGACCCGGTCAGGCAGCACGGCAGAAGCCCCACCAACACACCGCTATAACTGCCCCGCCTGAAGCCACCCGCCCCTCCAGCAGGCGGGGGCACGGTGGCGCAGCTGGGACTCGCCGCTTCGGGAAAACCCGCTCTCGAATAAAGACGCATGGAGGCACCTCGCACCCCTCCTCCTGCCGGAAACAGCGGCCCCACGCTGGCAGGAAGCCGCCCCGAGCAGAGCCACACGCCGCTGGATTTAAAGCCTCGTGTCCTGAACAGGCAAAGCCTCGGCAAAAGCCCCGGAACGTCCCACCAGGCGCTGCCGAGCACACTCCGGCAGCCACCGCACCGCTACCCCGCCGCTTCCGCCCTCAAACGGCGGGAACCACACCTAAGCCACGCCCCTTCCCTCTCCGTGGCCAATGGGAACGGCTCTTGCT